TCTCTCTCCCTGTCTCCCTCTTCGTGTCACACTGCTACTTTAATGCCATTCCTTGATATTTCTTTAAATTCATTCCATGTTCTGTTCACTCAAATATTTCTGACTTCCGTTGACCTCGCACTGACATAATATTCAAATTTGCCAGGCAAGTTGAATTTGCTGGCATTTGGCTTGCAAGACTTTACCATATTCGGGCATGTCACGGGTCGTATGCGTAATATATTGTTTATATTGTAGTGTCACAAAGCAAAGCAAAGTCTGTTTTGTCAATAAAATCAACAAAGAAAACAGTCCAACAGCCATGAGTCACGCATTCTCCGCTGCTGCAGCTGCGGCGAAATAGTAGAGGAATGATTGCCTTTAGTAAATACCAATAGTCATTTATTATTATCATAACTAAATAGTTGGGCAAATAGTTGAGAGATCTACTGAAAACATGCGAATCAAGTGAAAGAACTAAAGCTGCGAAGCTTTAACAGGGCTTTACTGTAGTCAAACTTCAGTCTCTGGGCAGAGTTTAGTTGAGAGAGCTGCAGTGGTACGTGGATGTGAATGATTCTATTCCACACTCTATTCCACAAATTGCAGTGAAGACAAATTGCACAGCTGATTGCACAATAAGTGCACACATGATTTTAGTAAAGTGCAGCGCAGAGATGATGGGAGATGGGGAGATGGGGAGTTGGGGAGATGATGGGGTGCAAATGGGCGCCAAAAGTCAACAGGCCATAATGGATTAATTAATGGTGGCAGAATGTGGACACTTGGTCAATCTGCAATCTCCATTGCAGTGCATAGATAGTAGGTAGGCACTGTAATTAGCCCAAATTGTAATCATGGCGTACCCGGGCCGTGCTATAGTGCCTTAAATAAGCAACACGCTCATTACAAGCATAATAATTAAACTCCAGAGGGCAACAACATTCAAATATGCGGAGCTTTTGTATAAAATGTGCAGATATAAGGACACAGACACAGCGAGCGAGCGAGAGAGAGATAGAGACAGACAATCAGGCAGTCAGTCAGTCAGGCAGACAGACAGACAGTCAGACAGAGAGATAGAGCGAGAAAGAGGGACAATCAGACATAGAGAAAAATCATAGAGAAAAATCAGTGTAAAACGTGGGCATTGTGTGCCAAGGCTGTGTGCAATGGATTTGTATGTTGTTTGCCTCTGGAGCTAAAGGAAAACAAGCACTGAACGTGCCGGGCCGCTCAGTGTGCTCAAAGCTCAGTGAAATGCGACAGCAGCTACCCACCTAGCGGGCCGGGTAAGCGCCAGGAAAATTCGACGCGTCGGCCAACCCCCAAAGAGTGTTGCGTGAAAATTAATGCGACATTTATTCATTATGGCAGCAGGCAGATGGGGCTGACTACATCCAGCCACCCACCAAGCCACCTACCCAGCCACCCATCCAGCTCACCCACTCAACCGCTCGCCCACCACTTGACAGCTGGGCATTGGATGGGCGGCGAGCCCTGGCGACGATAACCTCAATGCAGCGACGCTTGACTGGCGCAGGGCCCCGTGTGCCACGCGGGGGCAGTCAAAGGCTGTGAGTGAAGGACAAGTGAGCTTCGTGGCTGCCACAGAGCGTCGGGACATTAAAACCATGTGCGTGATTTTATTCACAGATTTCTCTGGCCAACCTTTATCGCTGGCGCTCCCCGTGGGTCTACCCAGCGCTGGCACCGTATGTCTTTGCTTAATTTAATTCCAGTCAAAGGAATTTAATTAGTCACATTGCATACGATTTTCATCATTTCTGCCGCCTGTCAGCACACAGCACGTCCTCGACTGACCTCGACCAGAGTCTGACTTATATACTACTAAATACACATGACGCGCCACAGACTATTCTCGAGTTAACACAAAAAAGTGTTACTCGTGCTATCTATTAAAGGCTCCTGAATGTTTAAAGTCAAGCGAAATGCGATATTTGCATTTCAACCTAAGAATCTTTTGCTTAATCAGTTTCAATATTCCCGTGAATAGTATATGTATATATCTGTATGATATATAGATCTTAAAAAGCATAGTAAGGATAGGCGCAAAATTTTGAAAGCAATTTGAAACGAATAATATGATTTACATACATGTATATTGTCATTTATGTATTTCTTCATTGTAAGCCAATTCCAACGTTGCTTTCGCCAAGATCTAGTTGTTTATCACATTCTTAGTTCTGTTAATTAATCAATGAATCATAAATTTCGAATTTAAATGAAGTACTAACTATTCGTTTGTCAACTTGAAAAATTCATATAGACAATATCTATTTACAGTCTAGTCCCGATGATTCGAAATGGCAAGGGATCAATTTTTTTTCGATTTACACAGAAATTCAAATCATCGATAATTATTAAGAACCAAGGGATTAGATTTTTTTTCGATTTAAATCTATTTTCGATTTAGCGGACTACAAATTATCGAGACTCGACTATATATATTTATTATACAACCATTGATCGCCATCAAAATTGAATATTGAATATTTTATACATTGCTTTCAAGCGGTACTTCAGATACCTTCATCCTTGCATAAAATTCTTCAATTTTGGAAGTAATCATAGATCACAGCAGGTCAAAAGCTCGTTGCAGCATCTGCAATAATATCATAGCCACTACTACACATTTTACTAAAACATTTTACTTCTCTAATGAGAGAGAGAGAATTTTATGCAATAAATTGACTTATCTAAATTTTGCATCAATTTAAACTTTAATCTTCTTGATGTACATATGAAAGTCAATGGCCCCAGTAGCCCCAGTACGCCCCAGCTTCGTTTTAACTCTGATGTCTAAAAAATAAACAAATATATATCCATATGAGCAAACTCTTAATACAGCTCTAACAAACATCTAGGCACTCTTTGAAAAAAGTTCATTTATGTGCCATTAATTTAAAACAATGAACCGCACAAAATGTTATCGATTTGCCTCAATTTGTGGCAACTATCAATTAGAGCTACCTATACTAAGAGCTAAATTAAAGTTTATGGATTTGACAAAAGGTCAGATATGTTTATTGACACTAAATGCTTGTAAACACACACAGACACACCCAAACACATACACACACAGGCACACCTCAAGAAATTTGTCAAACATTTTGCAGGAAAACTAATAAATTTGTATTTGAGCACAATTTATATGCAGAAATTTGAGTTAGCTTTGTTGTCTTTCTCTGCAGGTAATTGGCAAGAATTTTTAAACGGTATCTAAAATGGCTTTTATAATACACACAAACGGGAAGAGAGAGAGAGAGAAAGAGACAGCCACATAATAGCAGAGAGAAACTTGCATATTTCCAGTGCTAAAAGCCAGCGAGTTTATTGAGTTAGCCAAGATGCGCATCTGTCGTCTGAAACGTTGCGAAATTTTTGACATATTGCGGTGAGGCCTTTAGGTGTTTCACATGTGCCACATATGAATACAGATACAGATACAGATACAGATACAGATACAGATACAGATCAGTAGATAAGAGAAATACAGATACAGATACAGATACAGATACAGATACAGATACAGATACAGAACAGATACAGATACAGATACAGATACAGATACAGATACAGATACAGATACAGATACAGATACAGATACAGATACAGATACAGATACAGATACAGATACAGATACAGATACAGATACAGATACAGATACAGATACAGATACAGATACAGATACAGATACAGATACAGATACAGATACAGATACAGGTACAGATACAGATACAGATACAGATACAGACACAGATACAGATACAGATACAGATACAGATACTGATACAGATACAGATACAGATACAGATACAGATACAGATATAGATACAGATACAGATACAGATACAGATACAGATACAGATACAGATACAGATACAGATACAGATACAGATACAGATACAGATACAGATACAGATACAGATACAGACACAGATACAGATACAGGTGTATATAAACACATACCGAATATATTTTTATGTCATCTTAAAGCTGGGGTGAGTGCGAGTGTGTGTGTTCGTGTGTATAGATTGCCCAAATGGCAATTCAGTCAATGACAGCGCATAAAAGAAACACATATATGCATATTATAAAAAAAAAAGCACACACACACACACACTGGGGACAGCACAATGCTGGGCTTCTTGCTAAATTCTTAGCCATTCAACTATGAGTAAGCCCCCTTTATTCAGGTCAGCCATGCATATTCGACAAATACTTATATGCACATACACACTCACACGCACACATGCACATATATACCATGTATAGTACATATACATATATACATATGTGTCTGTGCATTCATATTTCAATGGGTACAACGACTACGCTCGCAAGTGGAAGTCAATTGAAGCAGCTTACTTTTATTTACGTAAAACGCTTAAAGAAACCCATGCAAGTTGTCTATTCTAGCCCAAGTGTATATGTGTGTGTGTATATACGTATGCATAGTACATAATATATATTTGGGATGCATTGCGGTGTCACATACCAAGCACAGTGTGCATCTGCATATCGAACACGGTGCAAATTGCAAACGTGTAATACGGTAAAGCTTGCTTATGAGAAGCACTAAATTACATCTCAGCTAAGCAGCTACGATACTATCTCAGGTGAATTGTCTGCTATTCAAGTTCTTAATCTTTGAGTGGAGTAACATACAGTGGCCCACAGCTGATTTCAACCAACACCTAACAAAAACTTTGGGTACCTAATAAATCTAAACTAAGAGAGATATCAATAAACTTTAAATGGAAGTTTTTAGTATAATGTTTTAGCTTATAAAAATTTAACTCACATATTTTTTAATATTTTTCAATTATATTTTTTAATGATTAAAAACTTAAAAAGAAAAGCAGTATAAAGAAGTACCGCGACTTTCCATGACTTCACAAAAACTAAATTTCTTATTAAATACCAAAAAAAATTGATATTGGCTATGACGAACCTATTATACACATTTTTATGAAAACTTTATTTCTTTATTCCAGATTTTAATTTGCAAGCTGAGGCCAGCATACCGGAGGACATATTTGACCAACATGATGCCGACATAGGCGAAGATGCGGCTGCCCAGATGCAATATGCTGAGCCTGCGGATGACGAGGCTGACGAGTACGAGGCAGCGGATATTGTGAGTATAGATAGACTGTGTATACATATGAGTGAGTGTGTGTGTGTGTGCATGTGTGTGTGCAGCTGCTGCGTGGGTGCTGCAAGTCAGTAAGTATTTCAAATGAGGTCAGTTCCATTGCAATCGCACACATGACATAAAAAAAAAAAAAAAGAGATATTGTATGCAGTTAGATAGCATTGGAAAAAAGTATAGAACACAAAAAAAAAACAGTAGCCATAGAAGAAGAAAAAGAGACAACGCATTGAAATGTCGCACAATGTGCTGGCTAAGTCCGATTACTCTTCTGAATGATTGCTTTAAATATGCAGTTTGTCTAGCCAAATCGTTTGCCCAACCGGGTCAGCTGGAAATCATCAATGCCCTTGGCCAACTGTGGCAAGCCCAGAGCTGAATGCCCTTTCGGACAGAGATTAAAGGTGATTTACAATGCGATATTAGAATGCTAATATGAGAAAGAGAACCTAAAATGTGAGCTAATTTCATAGTTCGTGCGAATATTCCAAGCACTCTATTCTATAACCTATAACCTAAACCCAATGGAAATCAAGATAAAAGGCAAAAGGAAGCGTATATCGATTCTTGATCGGCTAGATGTTGATATAGCCACGTCCACCTATCTTTCAATCGCTCCGTGCATCTAAGCCTATAAGAACTAGATAGGGTTCAATAGTAGTTAAAATAGTATTAATTGAAAAAAAAAAAAAAAACCCTTATAAACTTAATTCGGTGATTTATCTCGTACGCCTTAAGAGTATGCAAGTTTAGCATTAAGTAATATTTTATGGTATTCCATTTATTTAACACCTCTATTAAATTTTTAATTTCGTACAAACATTTTATAGAATATGTAGATCATATGATGTTATTTCCCTTAAAATCCATACAGTAATGCAGAAGCTAATAAAGAAAATATCAGCCTCTAATTTGATCTAGATTTGAATTTGAAGTAGTTTAGAATTTTTTTTTTCAATTTTACAAGCACGAATAAGACCAAAAGACATTTATTGTATATATCTAAGAGTCTAGATCCTTCGTTGGTAAGGGTATCTGCTAGTCGGGGTGCCCGCCCGCCCTCACTGGTGCTTACTGATTTTGTTTTTCAGGAAATGCTTTTGGGTTTCTGGGCTGTTTCTAATCTAATTTGACAATGCGATATTTACCGATTGCTGCAGCTCTGGACTCAATTGTTTTCTTCGTATGCCTTAACTGCCAAGCTAACTAGATTGCAAAGTTGCCAAGCAGCAGAGTTGGGCGCAATGTTTTGGATAAATGCAATCTTCGAGTTGCGCTTGCATGGCTGCCACGTACTGCGCATCTAATCAGCGCTTTGCAGTCGCTTACAGCTGACAGACAGGGGGAGAGACAGAGATAGAGAGAGCGAGAGAGACACAACAACTTTTGAAACAATCTGCGAGCTGCAGGAAAACTTGCCTTTTATTGTGGCACATGTGTCTAAGTTACTGAATAAGATGCTGCGCCTTTTAGATGGAACCACTTTGGCTTTATTGTTTTCAGCTGCAGTAACAGAAACGAGCATGAGAGAGAGAGAGAGAGAGGGATGTATATATACATTTGGGCATATGCATATACAGTTATGCAGCTAGCTGCATTTTTGGGTGCGAGAATGGGAATTGCGAATGGGTTTTATTGTCTTTACGTTCTCTTATTGTTCGCTTCTTGTTTCCTTGCAGATACTTGAATCTCAAAGGCCCACTTCAAGGAATTTCACTGTTTACCTAGCCAAAGATGGCAAGACAGTCAAGAAAAAATACCATAACAACAACAATGGCAACAGCAACAACAATAAAAACCACTACAGCTACAAATTGAAAAACAATAAGGAGAGCATGCCGGCGAAGAGAGTTGCCAATGAAGAGGAAGCAGCTACAAAATCCACTTCCGGTGACGACAACGACAGTGCCAAGGACAACAACGGCAAGAAGAACGATGAAGTCGACAGCGACAACGAGCGGAATGGGAATGGCTATGGCTATGGCTATGGCTATGGGTATAGCAATGGCAATGGCAATGGCGCTGGCGCTGGCACTGGCTACGGGGATGAGGACACGGGCGAGGACAATGCGGAGGATGGGAAGCCAAACGCGAACTTTGACAGCAAAAGTTTTGCGTATAAAAAATTTAAGAACATGCACGAACAGCAAAATCAACAGAGCCAAAAGGAGCAACAGCAGCAGACGAAGCAGCAGCAGCAGCAGCAGCAGCAGGAGCAGGCAAATGCCAATGGACCGGCCCGCCAGCAGGAGCAGCAGGAGAGGAATGCTGCACGGCAATGGCAACGTGAGCAGCAGCAGCCGGCTGTGGAGCAGCTGTTTGATTCTATTGAAATATTAAATGAACGAAAATTTAATAAAGCGCCCGGCCAATCAACGTTGCCAGCCGCAGAGGATGTCGCTGGCGAGGACATTATGGCAATCGGCGATATTGAGGACAATTTTGGTAATGATAAAGTATTGGCGGAAAACATTAAGTCCGCAATTGACAATGATGAATCAGCGGTGTCCAAGGAGATGATAATGTCGCCAGCAGAGACCAGCACCACAGCCACGCCCTCCGCCAGCACCAGCACGAGCAACACCCCAACCACCAGCAGCACCAGCACCACACCGGCGACAACAACAACCCAAGCAGCTACAGCTGGCAGCTCCATTCGGCGCGATCTGCTGGCGCCCATCGGCCGCAAGCCGAAACGACATGGCAATGGCCACAGCGCCATGTCCTGGCCCGGCAGCAGAAGCTACGAGAAGAAGAATTACGGCATAGGCCGCCTTCATGCCGCTGACTTTGAGCTGAACGCCGAAGACGTGGGCGAGCTGCACTATTACGACGGGGAGCAGCATTCGCGTGGCTCGGATGACGGTGCTGGTAAGACGGAGGCCAATTACTTGAGCAGCTATTTGGGCCATATGGTAAATGGAACCAAGCAACAGCAACATCAGCAGAAGAAAGAACAGAAGCAGCCGCAGCAGCAGGAGCAACGTTTTCTAGACGACGGCGAGCGGCAGGGGGAGCAGCGGACGTCGCAGCTTGAATTGGAATCTACATTGCGTTATCAGCCGGGTAAGTCATTTGGGCATTTTGTGAGTGGCAAAGCTTGTTCAAAGTCATGCCAAAATAAATAAGAAAGCTACAGATCGAGCTGATGGACTGGCAAATACCCTGCATGCAGCAGGAAAATTAATGCAAAAAATCATAAATATTAAATGTGTTAATACAAATCCTAATCGAATCTTAGATAATTCTTTACTCTTGCTGAGCTACGTTCAATATATAAAAATGGGCGTGGCTGAAACCCATTCAAAAGTACATAAGCCACATTCCATTCAAATCTCCTTTTCAGATTCTCTGTCAGTCTCAGTCATATATGAATATTACTACAGGGTATTTCATAGTCAGACAGTGCCGAATAAAGTGCTCTTATTTGAATTATATACACATATATATTTATATATATACACAGCTAAAAATGTACAGTAAGCCACGGGCTAAACACACAAATGGGAATCGGGACACGGATCAGTAGAGTCAGTGGTGATGGGAGGGGGGAGTGCAGACTAAACGTCAGTCCAAATGACAAGAGACACTGCATGCCACACACAATCAGAGGGGAGAGACTTAAGCGCTGTGAAGAAGCTGCACAGTGGGCAATAAACGAAGCACGCGTGCATATAAATTGCGAATCAGCTAGACTGACGACTTGACCCTATTCCATATTCGGTTACCAATTTTGGTTTTACTTTAAATTTCAGTCTATGAATTGGTAGTTCCGGTAAAGTTAATGCTGTAATCAATTTAATTCTTCGACTAGTTTTGCTATCACACAATTGTTTTAAATTGTAAATAAAATAGAAATTTAACTGATTTATTCGACTATTGCGTTGCATCAGTAGCCGATTAGATGTGAAAACTCAAACGAATTTCGTAATTTCTGTGGTGTTTCCGACACTGTTTGAAAACTGTGGCTGGGCATCCAAAGCTCACATGCTTTGAATTGGTTTCCCTTTATGGTTTCTGCTCTTTAATACCCTCGTTGAATGAGCAACTTCAGGATATATCCGATTGGGAGTAATGTACGTAACACTCAAACAGAAAAAGGCGTGGCCGATCCCATATTAAAATGTCTGCTAATACATGTGAAAGATCCTGATTAAAAGGAGGAGCTAAAGACCTGAAATCTCTGGTATCGGAATTCGTAGCTTTCATATAAACTTTCCCAGTATATAAAATTATATTTTTTCCACGCGATTCAGTAAATATTTTCCATTTCCTAAGATCAGAAATATTTAAATGCAAAAGATATTCAGATATAAAATTGCCATAAAACTTCGTCTATAGCTCGACTTATATACTATTTGAGGCTCGATTGATGAGGGCATCGTCAAGTCGTTCACTCCCGCCTGGACTTACTTTGATTTGCTCATCTGGACGGGACTGCAGTGCACTAAGCTGGCGCTTGTGCTTTAGCTGTCGACCGTAAATTGAAAATATGTTAGGCAAACCCCAATTGAATGCAGCTAAACCCCCTAGAGGATTGGGACGTTGAGCACCAAAATTTCCGACCGCACTTGCCAAACGAAAAGTCTCTTTAATATGGGTGCAAATGTGAATGCTCGAATACGCGTGTGTATGTGTGTGTGTGTGTGTGCTCGGATGTTGCCTTAATTAGTTTATGTGCCTTGCCGAACTTATGCAAATTCAGCCAGAAATCAAACGGACTAAACTTTGCCGTCCGACGAAGCAAGCATCCAAGCACCCCTGGGCTGCCACTTTATTACAACAGTTTTATTTTGCGAGCTTTCGTTTTGATACTGGGGACCTATTTAGAACTGAACATAGCGGGCATATCGTTTTTCATAGAGCCTATGTGACCCGGACTGTGTGAGGTGGAAGCCATGTGCCATGACTCCTATATAAGAAATAAGAGCAAAATCCGTTTGAATGGATCAGTCTCTATATCAATTGAACTCTTGATAAAGATTATGCATATTCCGTAGATTTAGCTAAGAGTTCCGTCTAAGGCTTAAGTCAAACCTTTGCCCTTGCCCATTTCTCTCAAAACCCGCTTGAATAAACTCATTTTTACATTTTGTTACACCATTCAAAGCAAACTAGGATATCTTCTAGTCTAACAACTTCATCCCATTAAAGAGATTATTCGGGAAATCTTTTGAAATCTATATCAAAAATTTGAGTTTTTCTAGAGTTCCCTTCCCCATATCTCTCAAAAATTCTCTAAGCAAATTTTTCTTTAGACCAGGATATCTTCGATTCAAGCAGCTCCAACCATACTCTCACTTATTTTCTTCTCTTATTTTTTTCTTTTTACCTGCCTGAAGCAATAAAGCCAACAAAACGGCAAATATTGTATAGCTCTGCATCGAGCCGTTGCTCAATGTAGAGCATGTCTCGAGGGTTTCCCCCCCACATACATATATCCCGCGCTGACCCGCAAACTACACAAAAA